ATTTACGCAAAGGAATCATAACGCAAACCTAACCAAACCGAAAGCGCAAACCGCCCCTAAAATCGACGATCAAAAGAGAGAACTCCGACCCAAAAGTTACTTTGTTATTAAATCCTGCCGCGAAAAGAACTCTATGTCATTATCGATACAAATTCCACATTCATCCGAATGATGAAATAACAGAAGCTCTCCTAATGACGGAACTAAACGTTTCCGATCACAATTTACTCCGAGCCCCGATCGCCGAGGCCCGAAAGTGGACTCGAAAAGTCGGACATTTTCTCGTAATTAAACGCTGCTGCTCGAGCGACGGATGTATTTTTGCGCACTTACAGCTGCGCTGTAAGTTTAGGCCCTTCCCCCCTGAGGAGTTTGCGTATTCGGTGCGACGCAGATCGGCCGACTGGCTGTACCGTTTGCGAGTGTCCCAGCTTCCTCTCGTCGTCCTATCGACAGGCATCTATTTATCGCGTATCAAGTGCCCGCTCGAGACAAGAGACAATTCCAAGGTCTACGAGGGGCCCGCCTGCACGGTGTGGCCTGCGGCCACACCGATCCACACCCACGATCTCAACGGACGTGGACGTCACAGCGCGAAGAAGAAGGAAAAAGGAAACACCGCGGGCCAAGTAACGGGGCGGTAGGTATATCAGGCGCGATAGATCAGGATCGTGCATACGAATGAACCGACCATCTTTATCGCGGAAAATCGACCTATTACGTAACCCCGCCGATCGTTAATTATTATTATACTTGCATATGCGCGCACGCTCACACGTATGCAAATCCGAGCCTCGCAACGAACGAGCGTTCGCTCTTTGAGCATTCCCATGTATACATAATTTATTAATTGAAGGGTTAGGCATTATATCGCGGACAGTCTGTCGACTGTGCGCTTTATAATTGGCTAACGGATCGTTTCTGATTTCCAGCCGATCGGCCGATCGTTATGAATTTCTTTCACGCTACCATTACGTAAGCGCACCAATTACTTCTACGCACCGACCGTTATACTTGTCACGGTCTTTTCGAATAATTTTCAAACGGTAAAACGCCGCGGTAAACTCTGACGATCCACGAATACACGGCGCATAGCGGTCGGAAAGTATGTATCGCGCGTCGTGACGGTCGCTCGCATAATGCGAACCTGCTCATTGTAGTCAACCCAGACCTACATTCGCACGCGTTACGTCGTGCTATAAGTGTCATAATGAACTCCTCTGAATTACGACTCCGCAGTCGGAACGACAAATATGCTCTGCTTAATAATCGATTAATCCGGCACGACCGATCTGCGGAACGATGGGTAGTCTGCGTAGATAGGTAGGTAGGTAGGTTCTTCCGTGTTTGATCTTGCGGATCGATCGAGAATAAATCACGTTTCCCACGGTGTCGCGAGACAGTGACAGATGGGCGCGACTGCAGCCGGTGTCACGTATCGAAAACGATTTCCTATTGTAAGCAAGAGAAATACGTAGTATAGCGCCTGTCGAACACGCATTACTGGATTATTAAGGAGCGGAAAAGTTTAGTAGACACATCGCTGAGAAGAGCGAAACGTTTTTCTTACGTAGCTTTAAAAGTCAATTATAGGAATAACGCAACGCCACCGTGTCGCGTGCTTGTCGCTTGCCTGCGAACGTATTCGCGATCTCTCGTAAATCGGAACAGGAAACGGCGCGAGACTGTAACCGCAAATGATAGGGAAGGAAAAAAATGCCGACGAACGAATCAAGGTTTCTTAATAATTATCCTCTGCATCTAACCGCGAAATTGTCGATATGCTGTTTTTGCCTTTTTTTTCTATCTCTCTTCTGTTAAAGCATGCGCGATATATTCGCGCAGCTTTGTAATCATGTATCGATAAATTAAATTCTAAATCGATGGTCAATATAGTCTTTCGTATTCCCTCCCAGTGAAAAGTGAGATGAGAGGAAAGATGGGAAGCAAGTGTCATCTAAATTATCATCTCATAATTTGTTTAATTACACGTAGTTTAAATATACGTAGACTTGACGATGCGCGAATATTTCCCACGATTCCATAAGTGCACGTGACATGCCGGGAAAAATCCAAACGAGCCGCAGCCTGTTTATAGTTTTAACGACGATGTATAATTTTGCAAATATTTTTAATGCGTTCCAACGAGCTACCGCTATCGTGCCGTAATTAATGTGCGTCACGAATAAACTCCGCAATTAACGATAGGTTGTCGATAGCTATTAGTAAGACATTAGTAAAAAGCGTTCGGAGTTATATCGCGAAAATTTCCATGAGTGATGTCGGGAAATTCCATATTATAATCCATTTCCCTTCCTTAAATATTCTTGATCATAAATGATTAAAAAATAACATATTTAAGAAAGTTACTCATTAAACATCGATAAATTTATTAAAATCATTAGCCAAAGAGAACAAGAATAAAATTGATTCTGTCAAATACAATATAATATTTCGAATTATAATTGTTTATACTTGTATCTCTAGGACGCGTTTTCATGTTCTCGAGGGAGGATTGAAAAAAGTCTTTCATAAAAATAAAAACGCTATATTGTGGTAGTTTTATCATTGAAGATATGTCACGAAGATTACTATATTAAAGAAGACAATCTTTACACTTTTAACGATTGATAAATCAATTTTCCCAAATGCGAATGATATCAAGATATCTTTTTAGCACAGCGTTGCGAGAGAATAATTTAACTCGATTGCAATGCTCTAAATGTTCGCGCACCTGCGTCAAATTTTTGCGGAATTGTGTCAATCGCCAATGTAAAATAAAAGTCTAAGGTATTTGCTGCGTGCCTTCAGTAACGATAAGATAAAGATAAAGTAAAAATTATTCCACACATATGTGACATAGAAAAGGTGTTCTCTCATGGTCGAATATAACTTTTGTGTCACGTTTACCATAAAAAATAGTTGCAGGTTAACTGCTAAAAGTATTTTACTTTTTTATGTCCATGTTGTATCTCGCATGATGAGTCGATATCTCGAACATATGTGGGAAAAAAACGTATTGGCTGACTCGTATCATATGTAAAAAGTATGCAGGTTACAATTCTGTTTATACATTTCAGAATTCTTCTTTAATTACAAACCAATAAAGATCTATGATAAGGATACGAATAATAAAATATATTTGATAAACACATGGCTCTATTATAATCCTGAATAACGAGTATTCAAATAATGCAAAACAAGTCTAACTGCACCTCGTCAAAAATTATAATTTCTAATCAGATCCATAACTGGTATTATTCGAAAAAACCAATATATATTCAACAATAACGTAATATATAAAAAGCTGAAATATTTTTAATCGACAAGCAGCGGATAATTTTGCATGTAAATTTATTATTCGAATATGTATGCAAATCAACAATAAGAAAGAGAGATCTTTTTTACAAGTATACACGATTCATCGTACCGTTGAATCATTTTAATGAGATCGGTTAATCAATGAAATAGTAAATATTTCAGCTTAAATTATAATATCTTTCTCACCTCCTCTCTTTCTCTCTCTCAGTGGTAATTCTTATTTAAAGATTAATTTTAATTGAAATGAAATGAAATAAAATAAAATAGTTTAATTGAAATGAAATGAAATAGTCAACAACTATAAAACGCTTTGATCCAACATTGCTCGGGATGCTTATAACAGTTTTCATTGGTTTTTAATTAAATGGGTAATAATTTTCTGCTGATGCATGTTTGTCTTATTGGAGTATTTAATGTGCTCTGTTTTAGCAAATGAGGAACCTGTTTGACCTCTGACGCCAGAGCGATGCATTACTTGGCCTAACTAAATTCTTAATAAAAACTTGTCTCTCATTATGGATACTTGTCGGAGACACGTTATTTTAGTTATTTATAATTTTCAAAGGACTATCTCTTGTCGGCAGTTTTTAAATAGAATAATAAGAAAGCGCTGTTGATTTGATAATACGTTTCACGCGCTCCTTTTGTATACCTACTGTTGCACTACTGTTTGATGAATAATTCGATTCGCCAAATGACAAAATAAATTTCAATCGAATAAGCATATTTCAACTACTGAAATAGATTATTAGAATTGTTAAAACATCGAAAATGGTGTAACTAAGAGTACTAATTGGATTCGCTACCGCACTAAGTTGTAGCTCAAATGATTATTTTCGTAAACCACCGCTATTTCCTATCACTTTCACCATCCGTAAATAGAAATTTCATGACAGTTTAATGATCGCATAGATAGTTACAGTTACATTGGAGCAGTTACATAGCTAAATACAATGTTTAAGTGTATGATGTTAATTAAATAAAACTTACACATAGTTGTAGCAATCATATATTAATAATAATTAATTTTACATTTTAATGTAAAATTTAAGTAAATATACTATAATACATAAACAAAGTTAGTGTACAGTGCTGTGTACAGTATATGTAAGAAATGTTTCAAAGTCACAACCTCCATTGCATAAGGTAACTACAAAAACTCTGTCGCTCGCGCGTGAGTCATAGTTTGAATAACCGTTTATATATATAAATAAATTCAAATTTGACATGTCAGATTTTTGCTAAAAAGTTTCAAGTGATTGATGAAACAATTTATCCAAAGACTTCATTTACACAAAATAAGAAAAAAATGGAGGATTATGCCTCAAGAAGCGACAGAACTTTTTTGGTTACCGTGATAATGTTTTATAAATATAATTTTAATAGATAGATAATTTTAAAAATACTTATGCGCTTAAATGATTGTCATTATAACATAACTGAGCGTTATACAACGGCAACAAGAAGCATTTATACTCTTCAATCTGGTTAATATGAAATTACACGAAAAAAAAATATTATGCAAATACATCTTAAAGAATATATTAATTTCCCATAAATTAATACATGTTGAATTTATGAGAAAAGAGCACACTTTCCTTTTCCTATAATATCATTCGATTAGGAATAAGATGTAGAAATACTTTTTTATCAATTTTCATACACTGATGTTTCTTCGCTCCTTTGGAATTTTTCGAAGACATGATATAATATATTTTTTAATCCTACTACTATGCGACATTTTCTTCATTTTAGATTTTGAATATATTTCTGTGGATGTGGACATGTCTTTCCTTTTGGTATTTTGTTGTTCATATATATTTAACAAATAGCATGGACATGATAACATTGGCAAGTTCATGTAACTTTCGGATTTGTTACTGATTTGATGATCTAAACTGACAACAAAAATATTATAATTAAAATCTTTTTAATTTTTGCATAAATTATTTAGCAAATTTGGTTGGACAATACTTTCAATAAATTAGTAAACTGCAAATTAATCTAAAAACCTAACTCTTGTTAATATCGTCTCATAAATATACTATTCTTGATATACTATTCTTGATATAAGAATAAATCGTAAATTGTAAATAATCAGGAATATGCTACTTGCGGTTATGAAAATATGAATACAATATAAACTGCAATCCAACCTGTAAGGTTTCAATAGGCTTTCATTAGCACTTGTTTTGGGCAATTTTAAAGATACCGTTTGCCTTGAGATATTTTGCGGTTTGTTGCTTGTAGGCAAACAGTCGCTATTCTCGTCAAAGGGCATAATTAATTTTTTAGAACTTTCCACCATTTTTTCAGACGGACATCTCATCTGTCGGTCAAATGTGTCATAAACCTTTATCAGTGGATTATCTGTAGAACTATGTTTATTTGTTTCAAATTTTTTTCTGGGAGGCTTAATAGGTACTTTTATATTGTGCCTATTAACAATTTGTTCTACTCGTTGGTGTTGACAATCTTCTAATATTGTGGTCGAATTTTCTCTGCATAATTTTTCATATAATGGCCAAGGAATTGATACAAATTTGAACCATAAATGCCCTTCATTCTCGATATCTAAACAGTGACACAATATAACGAATTGTTTACTATTTATCTACTCCGTTTCCCTGATATAATATAAGATTTTTATAAATTGCAGTATTAACTTCCAAGTATATAATTTTCCGCAGCGCAAAAATTCGCAGCGTTTGTAAGAACTCGAAATTATATGTTGAAATATAATGTACAAATTTATAAATAAATTACCATCATTATTTGTGTTGCATATTTCTTCATGTACAACAGTTTGTTTAGATGGAATTTTTTCCAGACATCTTTCACATCCTAGCCATGAAAATGATTTGTAAGAATTCGAAATTATATGTTGAAATATAGATAACGTACAATTTTATAAATATGTTACCTTTATTATTCGTGTTGCACGTTTCTTCATGTACAACAGTTCGTTCAGATGGAACTTTTTCCAGACATGACTCACATCCTAGCCATGTACTTATACGGCGAATTATTGCACTTGCAAACTTTAGTACACCAGTCATTTTGCATTTATAAACAACTATAGGTAATGCAGTTATATAACAGCATAAAAAAAAGTTCATAATACGCGGTAGCAACCTATAATAATTCCAATTCAAAAATATATCATATCACGTAATTTTCTTTCTGTAAAAATATATATTCCCTTATTGGGATACACAGTATTAAGTATTCTGTCTTCTCTGTCTCTACCTTTTTTACTAATAAGCCTGAATTAGTAAATTATCCATTTTCCACGAGAAATTCTACAAAATAATCAATTGTATTTCACAACGTTCAATCTAAATCTAAATCTGACTGCGTCCGTTGTTTACCCCGAAAGATTCACGACTATTGTTGATAATATTGAAGTCAATCGTTTCAATAGCCGATATTGGGAAGATATGTATTTACAAACACATCTCGATCGGGGATCGACGAGAAATTAAAGAAAAGTAACGTACAACGGCTAAAACTAATAAAGCTTGCAAAGTTTTATTTCTTAACGTATATTAACACGACAAACGAATTTATTAAGCGAACGAATCTATTTATTAAGGGAGAGACCGTACATTTTTCGAAAATATATTTTTAACAAAAATTGTTTATCTGATAAACATTGGTATTTTTGCTTCTTTTCTTTAGCTGTTTTTACATGTGTGTGTGTATGTGTGTGTGTGTGTGTGTGTGTGTGTGTGTGTGTGTATATGTGTGTGGATATATATATATGTGTATAAATAAATATATAACCACACTGTGCTCCATTTAATTCCTCCTCTCTTATCTGTCTGTCAATAATAAAATACATAGCCGCGGACACATTTTACTTGTGGAACATACTTTTGCATCTGGACTACGCCGATAGTGAGAACACTTTATTATGGGACCCAGTCGTTGGCGTGCCATAATTGATATGAAAATTCCACGCATATGCGTATTTCCGAACACAAAGAAGCGTTTCCTTCTTTTGCTTCTCTCGAAGAGCAAAGTACAAACGATTGAGTCTACGGAAAAGGCCGAAGACGGCATTGACGTACACTGAATCGATATTGTATATTCCGTTAAGACATATCTTTTATTCCGGCTGGTAAGAAAAAAAAAAAGGCGCAGCAGATGTGAATAAATATTTAACGATCTATAATAGCGCCCATTAGAGCAGACGGCGAATCATGCAAAAAACGTAGTTGTGCAATTATATCGCACCTACATCGCCGGCGATGTAAAAAAATAGACCGCTCGCATAAGATAAGAAAAAAAAAAGGTGCTTCCTGTTAGATATCTGTGGATAGATATTCGAAACATTTTCCATACAAGCCACTAAGTCTAAAAATATTTTTATATGGAATGCGATGCACAATGAGAATCAAATCCACAATAAATCACGTGCATCGATTAAATTGTCGTTGCATCAACATCTTTTCATAAATGTGACACACATAATCTCTTTGTGAAACGAATATAATCTTTCTCATTTGCATTTCATTTACATGTCGCTATTTCGTTTGATGTTTCATAAACTCGTGTCTGAAAAAGACTTCTTAATTTCTTCTTAATTTCTCCTAGGCTGTAATTCATACGGATCTTGAGTATATATAGATGCACCTAATACGACGAATTCGTTACGGTTGAACGGGAACGTAACTACCGAGTGCAAAGTGCCGTAAAGTCGTATCGTACATAGCAGGTTTTACAAAAGCTGCAAATGTCTCCGACAAAGAGCGCAATCGCGCAATGTCCGAAGGACACGAGGTTTATTTCTGTAATTTTGACATATCGGTGTTTGCTCGTTGTTAACACAAAGATCGAGTGAACGGGCTTTTGACAGATATATTAGTAAGCACAGTTTCCTACTTCTTCATTAATTTCCTCACACAAAGCCTGAGGATCTGGGAAACGTACGCAATACGGTTCTCGATAATGCGGTTTCCGTTATAATTTCTCACACACATGCAATCATTTTCTTTTTTTTTCTTGCAAGATGATGTGACGTGTGTGTATAAAAGATTTATCAAGCTTGTAATCCATATCAGCGCCGCGATCGCTACAACGACGTTTGAGAACACGCCTATCAAATTACCGTTGGAATTAGTTAACGCATACAGCAGCAATTATCCTTTTTATACCAACGACAGGTAGAACCTTGGCGCGTTTCTTCCAAAGAATAATAATTTATCTTTAATAGACTGCCGACAGATTCGTCCGCCCTTACTGTATCAGGTGTGTGTCAAGTATGAGTGACAATGCTTATTAGTTATAAATATGCCTGCATTTATACTTTGTGTATGTACATGTGGAAAAATATTACATATGGAATGTTAGTCCATTTAATGCAATCAATCAACTTTTGTCGCACTCTTAATCGACGAAGAATCGCGTTGGGAATTATTTATTAGTCACCGGTGTGTGTCTCACTGTTTCCTCAAAGAAAGGATACGTGCACTTTACTTATTGTTAGTCACGAGCGGACAATTGAATCGGTGCGGTGTACTGTATCGATTGTGTATCATGGATTGTACCGCACGTCTCTACGGTGCGGTACAATAAGCTTGATTTACTTTTCATTTTTCAGTATCGCGAATTTAAATAGCCTAAAAAGCAGCGAGGCCAGTCAATAGATTGTTGATAACAGCGGCCGTTTAATCTGATTTATCTGGCAACTTGTTTCGTGCATTAACAAGCCAACTCTTCGGTTTTCGTGCAAATTAACCGAAAGTATCCTTTCCTCGTGTCGAATTCTTCGCGCGTATCCGCAAGCGTAAGAATTGTTATCCCGACGGGCTTTTGTGTTCGTGCTGATGAGTTTTCATAACGCGTTATCATCGTAGCGATATATAAATCGTAGCGGTAAATAGATGTCACTTCTCCCAGCGATCGATGAGAGACAAGATCATCGCGAATACGGTGATTGATTTGACATGAAATAATTATCGCGAAGCACAGGAAAGAGATGCAGTGTTTCTAGAATAACGCGTCCTTGACTCGCACTCTCCACACCCACATCCGCGCTAGAACAACCTGAAGGGAATGCGTATCCTGTACATTTATCCAATTGCTCGCACATGCTTACCTGGCGATACCACGAAAGAAACTAACGACTGCGGTCGATAGACAAGTCGAATGCTCGTGTTTGAAAAAGAAGATACACTGTGTGTTGTAAGAACGCAACGCGCCTGTAACTGAGAGTAACATTACTCAATTCTACTCGCGTAACATTTTCCGTCACAATAATAAATGGCAGGAAAGTTGCAACGTGATGCAATGTCGCGATAAATAAATCGAATGGCAATTTACATACCGCGCGAAGTATGAAATAGAGAGAGAGAGAGAGAGAGAGAGAGAAGAGAGAGAGAGAGAGAGAGAGAGAGAGAGAAAAGAAAGGAGAAACAGAAAAGCGAAGACTATCGTTTACAAAAATCGCCGACACGTGCAGTATATCACAGATAGATAAAATTACACGGTAATAACTATTTATATTACGTTACGCGAGCTTGAGGACGTGAGCGTACATATCTCACACGATCCGATCTCTTCGTAGAACAGTTATTACGTATTCATAATAATTGCTCAAGTAATCATCACGATCAAGTGATATCTTAATTAAGCTCTAAACGTATGATTAGAGCCCTTCGCTGCTAGACGTAATACCATACCTCACGGTTCGAACCCTTGCACAATACCGACGCACGTGCGTACTGCCATTAAGGATAACGATATCGTCTCGATGAATTGCTAATGTACAAGGTAAGGCATTGAAAGCGTAAATATTGTCCTAGAAAACTTTAATTTCAGGAAGAGAATACTCAACGTGGATCTTCAAGTGGATCTTCAAGAGAGACTCTTGATATCCACGTTATTGTTATCACAAGCGCGACGTTGCATTTAAAAAATAAATAACAAAATAGGCAAACGTTTTTAAATGAAAGCTGATTTTTCTGTCTGTGTGTCGTAAAATTTGCCTCAAATATCGAAAGAAATGTTACGATGGATAGATAGATAGATATTTGGACACTGCACTTACTCTCCCGTGTGTTTTCCTCTTTTTCTATTTTTCTTTTTTTTTTTCAGATTAAAATATCGCCGCAACGAAACTTGAGAGACTTGTGTACCGATCCGCAACTTGATCCTAAATATATCATGCAAGATATCTCCGTACCAAATCAATGTGACCAGCTACACCGCCAAGCTTTTTCGATTATCATTCTTATGTACGTTTAACACATACGCACAAACATGCCATACAACGACCTTGGTCTTTGTAACGTACACCAATCAGCCCCGTACGCTTGCACGTGGGAGAGGATCTATATACCTAAATTTTTATCACGAATAACCGGTAGCTCGATTAATTATTAATTAAAGGATCAAGGATCGCCATACATGGTTCATGCGCATGGGCGTTTAGAGATTGCACGATCTAGATAGGCATGTTTGCTCCTCGCTGCACGTGCACTTTAAACTGTAATCGTCTATTAATAGAAAACAGATGTCTAATATAATCGTCTTGCCGATCTTGAGAGAGGGCTACAACGCGCTCTCGACTAAAACGAATTTTCGACGAAGATAAAATAGAGAGTCCACTCGCTATATATGTGCAACAGTCCCATTATTCTAATTTATGTCGCACGAGTCCATCGAGTTGAATCTTAATATATTAAAAATTCCCTACTTTCCTTGATAAACCTGTTCAGCTCTCTCTCTCTCTCTCTCTCTCTCTCTCTCTCTCTCTCTCTCTCTCTCTCTCTCTCTCTCTCTCTCTCTCTCTCTCTTCTATGTGATAAATAATAAAAAAAAAACACGTTCTCGGTTATTCCAGATATTTATATCTTCTTTTTCCTTCGAGATCGGAATTCGCTTTACAGAAATGTATTAATGAAGCATTCTTTGTTCCCGGCTCGAGTGGCTGTCAGTGATATTCGTCCGTGTCTATTTGCACGACAGCGAAGGAACAGGAATGTTAGCTCGAAAACAATGCTGAAAAATGAAACCGTTTCCTCCCCGAATTATCCTGGACATTGTTTTTGTCGGGGCGAGCGATCGCCGTCGGGGGTAATGTGGAACAAGGGCAGTAGCGCGCATTACGTCATTATACTTCCTACTTTTGAGACACTAAAAGCAGAATTAAATAACCTCGCGTAGCGGAACAGCAACAGTCTACCGCCGAGGCTAATCTAAGGTCGATTACTTCGCCATGTGCCTGCATTCGTCTGACTCATAACGGCAAAGTAGAAGTCTATCGACCCAGAAAGCACAGTTGCCTTCCTCAGACTTCACCTCAACGACTGTCTCGAACTCGCAGAATAATGTTAATTGATGCTAAAAGCTTATCATATCTCCCCCCCCC